CTATGCTTACATGCTATTAGTGCAGTAGGTTTTGAAAAATGTCTAATGCATTGGCATATCTGACAATTTAGGGTATTAGCTAACAGTACAACTCTGTAAATAGAGCGAATTGTAGCTAGGAGTGCTGACTTGAGCATTCAGTCAAAATCTGAGCTCTAGATCAGAACTGTATGCAACAAATAATGCCATTTTATGCTATAGAAAGGGAAGCTAGCATTGTACAGTGTGTATGGTTCAGTCTGAGAGCAGTGATAATTGCAATATATTGAAGTTTTGTATTGTAATAAAAATAGAGACCATTAGTGGATACCATTTATGTCATTAGTATTTAGTGGCTGTGTGTTGCAGCTTTTTTAGTGCTCATAAAGCTGTCTGTGCTTGCAGATATGTGACAGCACTGTTATAAATTTAAATGTTTAGAAATCCATAAGACATAAAATATAGATAGTAAATAGGGGCATAACGTTATAGAAAAGAACTTAATATTTGGCATGCAAATGTTTTTATATCTGCTTGTCTAGTGCAGATATTAGCATAGGTGCAGTCACATTTATACTAAACAACTTGATTAAGCAGACAGTAGTAGATCAGCTAAAACTGAAGAATCCAGCAGAAACATCAGAGGATTCTTCCAAGTCCCCCAAAAGGAATTCATAGTTATGGAAGGTGATTCCATTACATACATCTAGTGGGATATTGATTTCTTTCTTTATAGACTTTATACTAATGTTAAGAAACCTGCTATACTAACAAGGATTACAGCAGCTTTTTAAGAAGTGATTATGTTAATTGACCAATAAATGCAAGAATAAGGTTGTTGGGGAACGCAAAGATTGAGTGTGGCTGGTACTAGTGTAAGAAACCAGACAGCATGCAGGAGATTGCACCACGTGTAGGCCGTGACAGTGGCACCTGTCTAGAATTTGGAGGCTGGCGAGAAGGTAGGGAAGGAGCTGGCTGAGGAGAGATGTGCTCACAGTGGGAGATGCAAAGAGTCCAGGAATACAGCAGAGGAGGATTTTCTTAAATTCCAAGCATTGAGCTTGATCCAGATGTGCAAGCCACATTGCGTGGACTTTCCAATGCAAGATTATTGTTTAGGGAATTCAGGAAACTTGAAAGTCTGTATGACTTCCGTGGAGCTGGCCTGTGGAAAAGTCATCTTCCTTTGTTTATGAGACTGTCATTTGGATTTGCTGGCAGCTATTATAGGATCTTTAAGAGAATCTTTTAAGATCATTACCTTCAAGAAACTATTTATTATGATCCTGTTGTCTGTGTCAGTGATGAATTTGAAGGAAGAAATTCTGAGACTTGCATTCTGCATCTCTCCTCCCCATCTTCCCTACTTTGGACCTTTACAGACTGTAAAGACTCTGGGGTTTGTCGCAGAGCGCATCAGGGGTTTCTGAAATTTAACACGTTACCTGGCACTAAAAGAACTACAAAACCATTTAAGTAATTAAGAAAGAAGTGATAGGAAGCAGCATTGCAGAGTGCATCACTCCAATTAATTTTCACAACCATTTCTGAACATTTATAATTCTGAACTTCTATGGATGTTTTGGCAATATTTGTTTTATCTCTCAGTAAGAAAGAAAACCTTTAAGAAAACTTCCTAAACACTTGACTAAACCTTTGACTAAGGAACAAGATTTTGGATCCTTGCGGTGGTCTGGATGGGAAGGATGAATGGTCTGGATGTAGAAACGATGCTGGGAATCTACATTTGCAAAAGGCTTGTGGTTTATATTAATAGATGTTAACTTTAGAAAATGAGATGCTTTTCAGGAGCTGAAGGAGAAATGAAATGAAACATAGGCCTTCTATACAATGGATGTAAATTTTGTGTATCACAATATTTCTAATCATATATGGGAAGTGTTAAACTAGAAATTGTATTGTTACTTTACAAAGCAAATTTTTGTTGTTTTTTCTTTTCTGTTTATCCATTCAAAATGGACTGAAATACAAATCTCTAATACACTGTCCATCTTGAAAGCTTGGTGCAGCTATTTATATTAATCTAAATTCTTTTAGAAGCTTCCCCACCCCCAATTCAAGATTCAGTGTATTATTGCTGATTCGATCAGGATATGCCTACTAAAAGTAGGCTTAAAGAAAGAAGTATTAGCGTGGTTTTCAGAGGAAAAGCAAGCTCTCTAAAACCTGTTCTGTAGCAAGGTAGAAGGCGGGGCGCTCTCTGCTTTTCTGGCAAAACCTAGCTGACTCTGTCAGAGTCATACATCATGGTATTTGCGTTGGAATAATTTTAATAACTGTAGTTACCATAAAACTATATTGAATCTGTGTGTAGGATATTCTGTTAAATGAGACAAGTAGATAGAATATTTTGAGCTGGAAGTGATTGTAGAAATTGTGGTACTTGAAAGCACATGAAAGAATGTGTAAAGCAGACTTGCTTATTCTTGATAATATATTTTCTCTGTTTTCTTCTGTTTTTTAAGTTATATTCTAGCTGCTAGGTGTCTTAGTATCTAGCTGCTCTCTAGGACTTTCTCCGATAGATGCTGTATCATCCTAGATTCTTACGGGGCATTCAGGCTTATTAGGTTACCCTAATTACTACAGGTCAAAATTGAGATGCATTAATAGATCTTAATAGGAAAGCTTGCCCAGTGCAGGCTTTTCTGCTGCTCTTTCTGCTTGTTACTGCTTCAGTGAGATGCACAGGAGATTACTGGAAGATACAATTATAAAATATACTGTGCAGTGTAGCTATACACCAGCTTTATGCCAAATTAGGTCTTGAACCTGAATGGATTAAAGCATCTACAACAGTGTAGATTACAGTTCACTATGTGACCTCACACAGGTTAGTTGGCTCCCTCCTGGCTTATTTAATCCATCTACAAAATTGAGAAAAACAAGTAGCTCCATTTAAAAAAAACGGGTGCTGCATCTGGGCCCAACTTTCCTGGGTAAATAAATTACAGATAACACAGTGGGACAACTTAAAGATAATAAAGTGGAAATGCAAGTGTCTCTATCTCCTACACACATTTATCATTAACCTAGCAGCATACTGTGGTTGCATTTATTGGGTATGCCTATTTCACTGGGCTTCCAGCAGATCAGGGGTGGAGTCCCTGTCATTTCCTGCAGTTCAGTGCACCACTCAAAGCACCACGGGGCTGGTCTTACGAGAGTGCCTGCAGGCAGACTTAGTGACTTGGGGCTGGATGAGTGAAGCATGCTGCTGTGGGCAGTGAGCTGTCCCCTTCATTAGGATTGGAATTGGGCAGTGACAGATTGATTTTTTCGGGCAAATCAGATCTGTGCCCCCACCCCCCACCCCATCCTCCTACAGTAGTCTTTCATTTAGGTTATGGATTTTTGGAGTCACAAAGCATCACCAACAGATGTCATGTAGTACTAAAGTTCCCAAAGGAATGCTGGTAAATAGCTTATATGTCATTTTTTAAAAAGGCTTTTATGAACTCAAAGTCAAGTCAGACCTGCGTTAACCAAGTGAATGAAAGTATGCAGAACTGCTGCCTGCCACCTAAGGATGTGTTTAGAGTCGCCTAAGGTCAGGTCCCCTAAAGATATAGGTGAAACTTGTGTCTTTTTGTAATGCAGTTGCTTGCACTGGCTTGTGGCAATGGAGATGTGCGGTGGGGGCCTGGGCGCCCAGGACACGCGTGTGCGGGCTGGCTCTGCACACACACTGGGAGGCAGAGGAGCAGTGCTGCAGGTGCACTTCTCCTCTAGCACTGTCACAGGGTAGGAATTTGGGTTTACACGTGCAAATCCGTAGCTCGCTGGGCAGATAAGGATGACCACAGTGTTGAGCGCAAACAAAAGTAATGTAAATCCAAATCAAAAGCAGCGGCAGCAGTAACACTTATCAGCACAGTGCTTTATTAATACTTGACGAATTGCCAGGCATTATTTTTGTCATAGATAATGTTGTAAAATGTTGGCTCTCAGTAAATAAGTACATAATTCAAAGTACATCTAAACAAAATAAGTTATCATCACCCAGGAAATATGCTTAGCTTGATTTTACATGTCTGCAGAAGATGAGAGGAGTCTCCTATAATAATCTTTAAAGAAGGCAATTATGTTTATTTTCTATTAATTACTATTTAAGAATTGATTCATGATTCCTATGTATAAACCTGAATGTTCTTCTGCCCCATTGTTCTTTGTTTGGAGTAGCTCTCGGTATCTGTTCTAGTTGATTGTGGAGTGAGTAGAGTTACATTTACCCTGAAAATTATCATGCATGTTAGATATGTAAAACAGAAAGGTTAAGTCTCTGCTTGTAATGCAGTAATGTTGAGGATGCATTGCCTTAGTAGGTGATTTCTAATTCAATTTCCTCTCTTGCACATAATTTGAGATACTGCTTTTGTGTTGCTGTGTTGCAAGCCTCAGTCATCAGGAACTTATTGAAGAGTAGTGAACTTTGCAGGATGCAATGGTCTAGCTAAAATAACGGGGATCTGAGTAGTTACTTGGAGCTTAATGAGAGGTGGGCTTTTCTTGCTTTCCTTTATTTTCATTTTAAGTTATGGGATCAATTTTTACCTGATGGTGCAGGCTTAGGAGACAGCAAGCTGGGCCAAACCCTTGCTCTCTGGAACAAGTGTTCCTCAGTTGGGATGATCATCAGTAGATGCTTCTGAGGAGCTTTTGTAAGCTAAGATCTTAATCCTGTATTTTATGTCAGGAAGAGAATGCTACTTTAGCCATGTAGAATTCACTGGAGCAATTAGTAATAGCCATAATTAAGAGTCTGTTACACAGCAGAGTAGGAGAGAAATAAGACCCTGATCATTATTCATTGTCATGTTTACAGAAGTGGTTATACTGCACTCACTTGAGGAACTGATACCTATCTTTTGGTGGCTATTTTTGCACTAGCCAGAAGTGGACTGTGCATGATTTATTTTGATTTTTTTCACAGGATCTGTTGCAGAGAAGGCCCAGAAATCGGAAACTTCATAATGTTTTCCTTTCAAAACCTGACTTTTAAGTGACAGAAAATGGAAAATCTGGTAAGATGGTTACCCGCCGCCCCCCACCCCCCTCCCCCCCCTTCAAGTTGTGGACAAATTCTGTGTTTTGCCATTTTCTTGTTAGAGTGGCCCAGAAGGTATGTACTTGGAGATGTTCAGGGACAAGAAAAGATAAGAGATGTACTTTATTCTGAACATTGACTCATTTAGATTAAAAAGACATATTAAAGATGTGAATGTATGCATGCAGAATTGCTTGCGTGCTTCTGAATGACTGGTAGGTACTCTGAGCAGCCTGGCTGGATTATAGCCTATCAGCATGTTCCTGGGACAAAAGTACTGAATACAGAAGCACTATGTAGCAGAAAGAAAAATCTCTGACTGGAAGTGGGAGTGACAACCTGACAAGCTCAATTGAAAAGTAAGATGTGCCTAAGTGGGGATAAAAAATGCCAGTGTAAACTGTTGAGAGGAGATGATAGATTTTCCACTTAGAAATGAAGACTGGAAGTCTTTCTAGAAGATGTGTTTTAGTCAAAGATGAGTTATGGGAATTGATACAGAAGTAACTGGGTGAAATTCTGATAGAGGAGGTTAGACCAGAAAGTCTAATAGTCCCTTCAGATCTTAACATTTTTTAACAGCTTGAAACCGAAATCTGTCGAGGGTTACTAGGATTGAATAGCACATGTCTGTGGACTTGTGGACATCTCATGCTCAAAGGACATTAAGGCTTCAAATGGGGTTGTAATTGTTTCATGAACCCATGTGCTGCTTGAGGAGAACTGTCCATACTGTAATCCTTGACTGTGTAATGGAGATATCCACAGAGTGGGCATGGTAAGTTAAAGACTAATGTTTTGTGGATGAAAAGGATGAAGATGTGCAGTTAATATTAAAAAATCCCAAACTGTCACAGAACAACAATATTGACATTCGACTTCCACAGATGAGCATTTAAAGATCTCCTGTAAACCCTACTGAAGTGAGGAGTTAAGCCAAACTATTTGCCTAACTTTGTCTTTCGAGGTGCTATTTTGGTGCATTGGGACACCCAAACAACAATGTTGAACTATGCCATATGAACATTTTCAAACGGAAGTCTCAGTTAATATAGAAATATATTTTAACCTGTACAGAAAAATTTCAGTTTGAGATGAAGGTTAAAGTAATATATGTACACATATATATTTACATCAAAATTATTTGGGCAGTACATCTCATGAGATCTACAAATGCTAGAAGACTTCATGATTTTTGACACAGGAGTTTTATCAACATACAGCACTTAGCTATTTCCTCACTGCCTTATAAATTGTCAAAGGTTCACAATTTGATGTGGTTCTTGGTTGTTACAAGGATTAGTTGAAGATAATAGCAATTACATATTCTTACAGCTTATCATATTCTAACAACTACATAATTCTAATAAATATTTGCAGAGAAACTCAACAAATGACTTGCAGACTGTGTGCTGTGTCTGCTTACATATTTAAGCTAGTGGTACCTCTATGGATATATTTTATTAAGTCATTATTATTGTATCAGTGTTCAATTGATATCTTATTAAATGTAAATTTGATATTTGGGAATAACAATTTAATGGGACAAGGCAGGTGAGAGCCCCCAAGGTAACTTGTAATGAAGCTTCAAATTGTTAATAATCCTAAACTCATAAATAATTTATTAAAGTTGAAACAAAATGCAAAATACCAGATGCGAATGCATTAATACTAAACACAAAATACTAAAATTTTCTTCCATGTGGTATTACCCATTTGGCACAGAAGAAAAAGTTGCTCCAGTGCTGCCCACTCCTGCCAAGCATTTAATACTTAGGCATGTGTCCACCCCTTGTGTCCACTATTAGTCTGCGCCATTCCGTTTGCAGACATTTCTCCTTTCTTGCAAGTAGCATTAATTTACTACATTAAGCTGATGTCAGAGGCCCTGTTTAGGGTGCTGCACTATATCCCAGTGTTGGCAAGAATGGCTGGGAAGACCAGGTAATTGACTCCCCCATTTGCTGCTCTTCTTTTCTTGAAGTCAGCAGCAACATATCAGGTCTCTTTCACATAAGAACAGAAAGAAAGGGGAAGATAAACTTGCATAAAAAAATGAAGGATGTAGAGAAGATTCTGTTAGTTTCAGTATTTTCTGGAAGAAAAGAGGAGATATGTCACCAAAGAAAGGGTTTGTTTGTTTGGAGAGGGGTGAACCACTTTTCAAAACTGCCTTTATTTCTGTTTAATGTTCCCTCATTTTTACCTGACATTACATTTCTTTGTACTTTGGGAGGGGTTCCTGGCATCCCACAGAGATAGTGAGAGACCTAAAATAACTCTTTCTGCAGTAGAATCAAAGCAACTATATCAGCCTGCAAAACAGAGCTAAATTTCAATGGTACCAAGTACTGCATTTTCTTCCCACTGTTGTGGGAACTGCAGAAGCTCAGCACTTAAAAATGTTGCTAGTAAGTTTTAAAGAGTTAAGCTCTAGAGCAAGTTAGTAAATGTGAAGACCCTTAGTGCCTAATACTAATTTTTTGGTATTTCTACTAGTGAGAGAGAGAAGGGTACACAAAATTCTGCAAATCTGTCCCCATGGCCATAGTATTACAAGTAAGTAGCGATTGTCGCGCCGATTGTCAAATAGGGACTTCGATGAATCCAACATGGAATTTTGACCCAAACTTGTTCTTCATGGCTTGACAGATAGGTAATGGCTTGACAGATTGCTGTAATGTTAAAGATGAGGGCATTCATATTTCTCATGTGATGTTTTTAGGGGAAAAAAAAAAGAATCATTTATTTTGAAAGTGGACAGTGGCTTTGTAACTGGCTTGGAGTTTCACCCAAGATGATAATCTGGGAATTTGATTGTTATTGAATGGTAGAAGGTCTGTGAACTAGAAATTTGGCTGAGTATATGGTACATTAAAAAAAAAATGCTGCTTTTCTGATGGAAGACCTTGGTTGCTAGGAAGACAGCATTCAAGTGTTTGCTTATGTTTAGTTGGGGCTTTTATCAATGTGGAGTAAATGGATAATACCATGCATTTAAATACAGTTTTCCTAAATAGTGAGGCTGTAATCTAATGAAGAAATGGCAGTAATCACATTTTCTAAAAAATTAAGAATCATGGTATAATTGTAATGAAAGTACTGTATTTTTCAAACATAAATCTGCTGGATTATATGTTTTTGTTTATGTTTATAATTACAGATTTTTAGATTCATTTGTTGTGGGGAAAAGTAGAAAATTCTGATTCCTCTTCCTAACAAGGTTAGGAAAGAAATGTGGTCCACAGCATCCCGAGAGAAATGACTTTCTTTCAGTCAGTTTTAAGTAGTTATTCCTTTGTATCTGCCAGAAGATTCCCAAGTATGGAAAATAGATCCAACTTGAATTACTCTTTGCTTGCTCCTTCACGTATGGTCCAGGATACTTCAGTGCCACTGTTAGCAAATTTCAATCACAGATGCTCTTCTGGGGACAGGCCTGAGTCTTTGTCACAGATGCTCTTCTGGGGACAGGCCAGCGGATGCCTGTTCTTCACCTGCCTCCTTCACCTTCCTAACAAATAGGAAGAACTATGGTATGCCCAGAGGATAAACAATGAAATCAAAACAACTACTTGATTAATAACCGTGCCTATGATCAGAAATCCCCATTAAAGTGGGATTGGCAGTATCCGGTGTTCAGTGTCAGCTATTACATATCACAACCTGGCCTGATTAGCTATGAAATTAGCCTAGTATTTTATTCACTGCTAGAAGCAAACAAAGCTCAACAGTAAACTAAGCTCAGTGGCAAATATTATAGCTGAAGGAGCCCATGTCCCCATTTTACAGAGAGAACTACATCACCTTTATGTTGTCTAAATGGCTATGGACACTAATGGAAAAGCATCTTTTGACTTCGTCTGGAGTTTGAACCATTTGTTAGAGGAACAGCATTCCATGTTCAACCCAGGTGTTTTATACCATTATCTGCCTATCTTACCCAGCCTAATTGATTTAATTGTCAACATAATGTGTCCTTGCTGTAACTTAACTCTATAATATATGCTAATTCAATGTTACTGAGGAGCAGTTGTCTTTCAAAACCTGCATTCTCTCTCAAAATATGAGGTGGGAATAGACGAACTGGAAAATGCCGTAGAGTGGCACCCTGTAATAGGAATTGGCATTTCAATTGATTTTTCAGGGAGGTACACATATTAAGTATTTTCTATCAGTCCATCATATTATCCTAGTGACAGAAATAGATCATAGTTTCTTAATTTGCATCATCTCTTGGTCTTCCGGCATCATCAGCTGAGCTTGCTGCCAGTCAGCATCGTTTTGGCTTTTATTTGACTTCTTTGTGCACGTAAAAGCCCTCATTTTGGCAGGACGCTTTCTCATCTGCGAAGATCAATGCCCTGCAGAAAAGGCAAACCTTAGAAAGTTACCCCAGGTTTGATGAAACACTCTGAACTGGAACCTAGGCATCCCAATTCATAACTAGCATAATTTATCCTGGAGACCAGTCTAAGTGTGCTGTTTAAATGCCACCTAGAACAGAAGAGGCCTGTGCACGCACACACATGAGCCCACGTGTGTGCAACCTCACACCCTGCCGAAGAAGGGAAGTGCATCACGGATACTTTTCTTGGTTTGGAGAATACTTTTATTTTTTGCTGCAGCAGCTATAAATAACATCTCGATTACTTTCTCCAATCTCTGGGATTACCTGTGATGGTGTTTAGAAGTCCCCAGATGATTATGTAATAGGTACAAGATGCCTGATAATTTAGCAGGCTTTTTTTTTTTTTTTTTTTTTNTTTTTTTTTTTTTTTTTTTTTTTTAAGCTGTATTAATGTTACTTCTCCAGATATCACTTCCTCTTTATCATGTTCTGTCCACTGTGAATGATGCATATGCAGCAAAGAGAACAGAACCTTCTGCAGTCTGTGAATGGTAAATTTTATCTGGATGACTGCATAAGGGGGTTGCAAGACCACCAGCAATTTTTTATATTCAGAGTTAAATAGA